TAATTCTTTAAAACAATGATTTGTATTTTTTATCAATATATTTCATTAAATCAAAAGCTAACAACACTAAACTGGACAATCATAATCCAATAAGGCTAATAACTTGCACAAAAAATAGTTCATTGTTACTAAAAATAAATAACACAATACAGCAAAAACAAAAATCCTTAGACTCCTAATGATAAGTAAAAAAATATCAAATTGCACTACAACAACTTAATATTTTAATATCGTTTTTTTGTGATGAAATATTTTTATTGAAAAAAGTGTCATTATTTTTTTAACTACAAAATTGAACATTTAGTAATGTAATACTATCCTCTTGGGACCAAATTATTTTATCCCTAAAAAATTTATTTTTAAAATTGCAAGTAAATTTTATTTTTTATTTTTTGGAACGACCTTTTAGAGACTAAATTTGCGACGATAAGAATTAGTTTCCCAAATAATTTTTACAATAAAATTTTTACTTTTAGAAATTGAAAAAAAAAATAAAAATAGTCTCTAGTTGTAGTGTTGAAAGGAATCCTGATACTTCAATATATTTCTGTACATAACTAATTGCTAGATCAATGGCATGGGGATTATCAATTGGCCTAGTTATAGGCTTTGTATGTCAACCCCCTCTCTTGCCAACACCTAGTTCACTCATTCAAGAGCCAAATGGTCCATTATAATGATGATTTTGAATTTTTTATTTTTTTTTTAATTGTGTAAGCCCCTCATGAACAAGTACATCTTAGCTCTTGAATCAATTCCTTCAAGCTTTTTCACTAGATTAAGCAATCAAAACTCAATACTTGATTTCAAGCTAAATTATGAAGAAGAAGTGGAGCACAGGCAACATGAGGCTTGGCTCATGAATTTGTCATGCCAAAGGATAAGCCAAACTAGAGCATGCTGTTATTGTGATATAACACATCAAGAGACTTTTGTAACAAGAGCAAATAAAGGTCATCATGCAATAGAGCCAAGACCTTTCTGTAATGTGAATTGATTATTATTATTATTATTTTAATAACATTGGAGGCCATAGTTTGGCACAAAGAGTCTTACTTTTTATAAGATATAAATTATTGACATTCTAATAAGGTTTTTGGATTCCGACTTACTAAACTTATCCTATGATGCATGTGACTTGTTCTAGTATAACAAATGCCACCATGACTTTAGATGTTACGCCCATTCGGATAAGCTTTACGTTGTATTTAGTTGAAAGATTTGTGAAGGGATTTGAAAAGGAAAAAAAGAAAGATAGGTGAAATGTGAATAAAATATACTTATATTTCACCTAATTTCACAAACATTTTTCCTTCCATCTTCAAATCCCTTTTCAAATCGTCCAACCAAACACAACATTAGTGAGATTGTAAAGGAACTCTAAAGTGTTAAGTGGATTTTCACAACTAAATACTCATTTTATTTTATTAGCATCGAATTCACAATGATGTTATTGGGCATAGTTTATAACAGTTACTTATTACTTTTTGTTTTGTTTTTTTTTTTTTTAAAAAAAATTTAAAATTTGTTTAAAATATTAATAAAATTGGTCTTTTTTTTTTTTTTTTTTTTTTTTTTTTTTTTTTTTAACGTATGTGCTTGAGCATTGAGGAAATTTGTAGATATAATTTAAAAAAAGAAAATAACTTAAATAAATTATTAAAACTAGTTATTATAAAATTAGGAAAAAAATTCTTTTAACTTCTATTAGCTTTTAAGAAGGTGGAACCATACGATTGACACCTTGTCATATATACCCTTTTTTCTCCAAAAGAAATTATAATGCATAGAAGATAATAACATTTAAGTGATGAAGAATCAAGTGAATCATGATGCGTCTATTTTTTTTCCACAAACATTGTCCACCACAAATTGTGAGAAATAGTCAAATGGCTTCACATGCATTTAATTAAGTAATTAGTACTGCTATATAAAGCTTCTATAACCTCTGGCAAAATGATCACACAATCTAACAACCACTAAGAAATAGAATAACTAAATTTTTTTTTATTAAATTTACTTATTAATTACATGTTATCTACATTGGTACAATATATAAAAATTATGAGATTCATTGTATCAATATAATAATGACACATCAAATAGACAGTCTAATTAGACATCACAGACCTTACTCTGAGAATATGATATGTTCATTTTATAAGATGGACAAAAATATCGTTTTTCAAAAATTTAATCATCACAATACTAAATAATCTTGATTCCAACTAGAAGATTTCTAATGCCTAACAAGTTGGGCAACTCCACAAACCCTCCAACAAAAGGAAAAGGACCAGCTAATTAGCTACCCTAAATTATTAAATTAGTAACATTAATGCAAAAGGACAATAGTTTTAGTTCGATTGCCAAAATGACATCCAAATATGTTTCATTTTCTTCACTTCCTTATTTTAATTCATTTAGAACTTAATCAGTTGGATCAAAAATCACATTTTCATTCTTTTTCAATATTCATGTGTCCAAACTTTACAATAATTCTTAATCCCTATTTGCCTCTAACAAAGAGAAATGATTGAGCTAATTAGCAACCTTAAATTAATACAAAAGGACAATAGCTTTAATTTGATGGCCCAAAATGAGATCCCAAATGGGTCTCTTTTTCTTCATCTTCTTGGCAACCAAACAAAGCCAAATGACCCCTCTCCTAACCCATGTCTTTTTCTTTTCTTTGCCATTGAAGACAACTTATTCCACAACCCTTTTCTCTTTTGGTGTTGCATTATTCTACACAACATGTTTCCTTTTTCCTTCTTTTAAGCGCTCTTGGAATTTTAGTTTATTGTTTGTATAACTATTCTTTTCATTCACCATCTTAGACATTACCTTTGATTCACGCTACAAACACCATGATTCTATGCCCCTCCTCAAGTTTGAGTTTATACACTCAATAGCCTTGTGATCTTCACTACAACAACCCATCCTTTTGACTTGTCTTCTTTTTGTCTTTTAAACCTTGATAACATCATCAATGGCATCTCCCAATGTCCATGCAACCAAAACCTCACACATCTCCAACTACTTATTCACATGTACTTTGGGACAAATTATATTCGTGGTCCTGTAATTTGTCTTTTATGTTAATTTAATTTGTATAGTTTCAATTGTATTCATTTGTTCTTTTAATTTTTAAAAATATAGGCCAATTGATAACATCCACTAAGAAATTTGCTAAGAATCAAAAGCAAAATGTTCCATTTGAAAAGAAATAGACCATTATAAATTGGATGTCAACCTTTCAATCATTCAAGGAGAGTGAATAGACTATTTTATTTATTGATTTCAGTCCAATTGCTAACGATGGATTACCAAATAGATTAAATTAATATAATGTGAAAAATTAAAAGGTAAAATTGATACAATTAGAATTGAAACCACCCAATTGACAAAGAAGACAAATTATAGGAACAAAGAGTGTAATTTGCCCTTCTGTTTATGATAAAAGGGAGCAAATGGTGTGGGGCCATCGGTAAATATAGTGAAAGAGAAACATTTATCCAGTCCAAAAAGACTTGTTTTTCATTGATTATGAAAAACATTTTCAATTGATTTTTATATTTCATTGTTCTAAATGTAAACTGACTGTAAAGTCTTATTAAGAAGATGGGTACACCAATAAGTCCTCTTGTCTTTTTTGGTGCATCAAAAAATCTTGTTCACTTTTAATTGTTATCACAAAATTCTTTTTTTTTTTAGCGGCGTTTTCATAAAAAATATCACTAATTGTTAGTTTTTAGCGATAGTTTAAAAATTCATCACAGAAAAATGTCACTAATTATTATTTTTTAGTGACTAATTTAGAAAAACATCACATCAATTTTTAGCGACAGATTCATAAAATCGTCACAAAAAATCTTTACGTTCAACTGTTAAGAATTTTTTATTTATTCAAACACCTATAGGACTTAATGATGCACATGTCTTTATGACAGAACCTGTGAGTAATTAACCAAAAAAATGTATAACAACTAAAATGCAAAAAATAAGTTTGCTATCTCAAACTTAACCATCCAAATTTTTTTGAATGGGTGGTTGTGTGGTGAAGATTAAATTTGTAAAGTATGAGGTCCATAGATAGAATAAATCTGTACCACAAATTATAATTTAGGTAATTTCTAAATGTATAAGGTGCTATTACTGAAATATGCAAATGGCAAATTGGGTGTTTGGAAATTGGGCGGGTGACTTTCTGCCCTTTGAAATTGGGCCTTTCGGGCCTTTGTAATTGGGCTAAACATACCTCCCGATAAAAAAAATTTAAAAAAACGCCACTTAATTCAAATAACTTACTTACCTTCAATTTGATTAGGTGAATTTTTTCATTTTTTAACATTTGATACAATAGAAAAAAAAATAATAAGTTAAATGAAAAAAAAATTGTGATCAATAAAAAATAAAAATATTTGGTCAAAAAATGTTTTCTACTTTTAAAAGATGAAAAAATCTTACCAATATCACCATATTGCTACCATACTTCTATTACGCCACCTCTGCCATCACCGTCACTCACCACCACCACCAACAATACAATAAGTAGTACATATTCAAGGAGACAACTTTGAAAACAAAAATTCAAAGAAAATTATTTTCTATCAAAATAAACAGAACGTTAATTCAATCTCATCTAAAATAACAACCTTATTCAACCTTGTTTTCAAATAACCTTGTTCAAAATTTCAAATAACTAAATTCAGTAAATTTAAATAAATAAATTACCTGGTTCATCTACATGAGAATCACTAAATTTGATGCACATTGCTAGGGCTGGGCATAGGGTCATCCGAACCGCCCTACCCGATCCGAACCGCGCATGTATGGGCGGTTTCGCAAACACATTAGGGTAGGGTGCGGTTTGGATTTTATGTAAATTTCGGGTTGCGGACGGGTTGCGGGTTTGACCCGCACCCGCACAACCCGCCCGCATAAAACTTTTTTTTTTTTTTAAAAAAAAAAAAAAATCTGATCTGACCGTTCAAAATTACCTCTTTTTTACCCCTTTAAATCTAATCGTCCAAAACAAAGAAAACCCTAACCTAATCAAACCCACTCACTCATCACTCATCATCAGAACTGTATCTATCTATCTCCTCTCTTCCTCTCGGTCTCTCTCTCACTCTCACTCGCGATTTTCATCTGTGCACTCACTCAACGATCGAATCTCTCTCTCACAAGATCGACCGATCGATCGACCTCATCGCACACAGGTAAAGCCCCTCTCTCTGATCTCTGTCTATGTTTCTCTCTCCCCGATCTTTGGTTTTTTTTCGAACATATGAGATCTGTCTCTCTCTGACTCTGATCTGTGTCCCTCACTATCTCATCTCCCTCACTCTCTCATCTCAGTCTCTTACTCTCTGGTTTTGCATCCACACCGATCGGCTCTCTCTCACAGGTAAGCCTCTCTCTCTCTCTCTCTCTCTCGCCCCGATCTCTGTCTGTGTTTGTTTGTTTGGAATGTATAATCTTTGATTTAATTTTTTATTTAAGCAACAGATTTTTTGATTTAAATCTGTCTGTGTTGAATTTGTATAGATCTGTCTGTGTTGATTTAAATCTGTCTGTGTTGAATAGCATGGTTTACACTTTTGGAATTCATAGATCTGTTTGCAACTTCATAGATCTGTTTGGAATTCAATCTGTTATTAAAAATAATTCTGTTTTTTGGAATTAATTTTTGATTAAATCTGTTGAATTTTAGGGAATTTTAAATCTGTCTGTTTTTAGGGAAACTGATTAAATCTGTAATGAATTTCTGTGATCACTTTTTTTTATATGTAATACATAAATTATGATGATGATTCCAACTCCTGTAATGTGTTATGTGCAAGGAAGAAGAGTTAATCCAGTCTTCTTGATAGTTTGTGTTTGTGTTTGTGTTAGCCTATAAAAACTGATTTACATGTGATTTACATGTAAAATTGAGTTTTAGGGAATTTTTGATTAAATCTGTTGAATTAATCTGTTTGATTGAATTAAAATTGAATCCTTGACTGTTTTTGTAATCCAGTTTAAATGGAGGATAGTATTCAATCTCCCGCAATCAATCTTGTACCTCCGGAATCCTCTAATTCTCAAATGAATCCCCTCTTAGTCGAACCCAAACATGAACCTGAACCTAAGCCTCCTAGACCCCCAAAGAGAAAGAGTGAGGGTGGAGGGGGGAGAGCACCATCCACAGTTTGGGATCATTTTGACAAGGTTGTAGGGACCGATGGGAAGCGTAGAGCCGTATGTAAATATTGTAAGAAAGAGTATATGGCTGACTCTAGACTTCATGGGACTAGCAATTTGAGGAGTCATACACCCAATTGTAAAGAATATCCAAATAGGGATACAGATGGTCAACAAACATTAAATCTTAAACCGAAACAAAATGAAGAGGGTGTTGAGGTTGTAGCAACAATTTTTAATTTTGATACTTGTAAAAGGGCTCTTGCGGAGATGGTGGTCATTGATGAGTTGCCATTTAGATTTGTGGAGGGTGTTGGGTTTAGTTTTCATATATTTTTTAAAAAATTAAAAACTTATTAAAATAGTTTGTTCCTAAATGAAATCTTAATAGTCTAAAGGGTGTGTTTGATTTGACGGACTAAATAAGGAGAGATTAGAATATATCAGATTTGAATCTTGGGACTGTAAATTCCTCGGACTATTTGGCTGGATTGGATGTGTATCCGTGTTTGTTTTCTTATGGGATTAAATGTTGAAAGAATTATTTTTAGTGAATCCAATGATTGGTTGAACGGACTGGATAATGATAAATGTTCAAAAGGCTATTTTATCCTTGTAATATATAATTTATAATTTATATTAATATATATATTTTAAATTTGTAATCTATAATTTATATTTATAATTTATAATTTAACAACACTAGAATTTTTTAATTTATAAGGCCATAATTTATAATTTATTTTTTAATTTAATTTAATTTATAATTTATAATTTTTATTTAATATATAATTTAAATTAAAAACACTAAAAATAATTTTATTTATTATATACATTTAATTTTTTTACAACACTAAAAAAATTAATTTATAAGGCCATAATTCTTAATTTATTATTTTTAATTAAATTAAATTTATAATTTATATTTTTTATTTAAATATATAATTTAAACTAACAACACTAAAAAAAATAATTTATAAATGTTCAAAAGACTATTTTACCATTTTTCAATTGTTTACTAAGTAATAGATAAAGGTAACAATGGACATTTCACACTTAATTCCATGGATACCAATCCCATGGAAATAATCATCCCCCAAACCCCCACCCCAGGATTGTTTAGTCCCTCATGAGAGGGATATGAAGTCCAGCCAGACTCCATGTCTGGCGTACTAAAATTACAATCAAACGATGGACATCCTATTCCATTGGATAAGCAATCTGAACAGTAATAATTCCCTCCCAATCTCTTGAATCAAACAGATGTATTATTTTTAGTTTGCTTAAGTGGATAGTTTTTCAAATGTATTTTTTTTAGTTTGCGTAAGTGTGGACGGATGATGAATTTGAGGCCACTTGATCCAACTCTATCTGTCAATATTCCTAATAAAATGAATTATATAAAAAAGAATATTTTATTTAGTAATATAATTACTATTTATAAAATATGAAAATTGAATCTTTATTTTTTATATAAAAATGAACAATAAAAGATTTTGAGCACAAAATAATAAAAAAATTAGTTTTGAAAAAATGCTCAAAATAAATAATGCCAAACCATCAAACCAATTCACATCTACCTGAATTCATGTGAATGATGGATGAGGAAATTATCCAAGCTAACCCCATCGGGAGTACCCAATTTGGGTGAGGACTCTACTTTAATAAAGGTAAGGAGAAATTATATATCAGCTTATTTTTATAAAAATAATTATAATTAATGAAAAAGTCTATCAATTAATAATTAAAATTATAAAATTTCAATTGTTTTGTAATTTTTTTTTCTGACGCACTGGGTGGTATTTTCCCTATGGTCATTTTCTCCAAAAAATATATAAGTTTGGAAAGACTTACTAATTTTTTTTTTTTGGGGGGGGGGGGGGTGGAAATACAAATTAGGCCTATTTTTGAAAAATAATTACAAATATATAAAAAAAAAATTATGATTTTAATAATTAAATTTATAAACTTTATCATGTGTTGAATTTTTTTTTCCATCTTTCAGTGTCACCCATATCACACTATACCATAGTTGAATCTAAACTATGCATTCATTTTATATATTCTTGTCTTTAATAGTTTTATAGTATAATTTCAAAACCTCTAAAGCTTGCTTTTTAAAGTTGGATAAAAGAACCGTATTATTTAGTCAAGAAAAGCAATGTGCATCAAAATTTAGTGATTCTCATGTAGATGAACCAGGTAATTTATTTATTTTAAATTTACTGAATTAAGTTATTTGAAATTTTGAACAGGTTATTTGAAAACAAGGTTGAATAAGGTTGTTATTTTAGATGAGATTGAATTAACGTTCTGTTTATTTTGATAGAAATAATTTTCTTTTGAATTTTTGTTTTCAAAGTTGTCTCCTTGAATATGTACTTCTTATTGTATTTGTCTGGTGGTGGTGGTGAGTGACGGTGATGGCAGAGGTGGCGTAATAGAAGTATGGTAGCAATATGGTGATATTGGTAAGATTTTTTCATCTTTTAAAAGTAGAAAACATTTTTTGACCAAATTTTTATTTTTTGATCACAATTTTTTTTTTATTTAACTTATTATTTTTTTTTCTATTGTATCAAATGTTAAAAAATGAAAAAAATTCACCTAATCAAATTGAAGGTAAGTAAGTTATTTGAATTAAGTGGCGTTTTTTTTTAAATTTTTTTTATCGGGAGGTATGTTTAGCCCAATTACAAAGGCCGAAAGGCCAATTTCAAAGGGCAGAAAGTCACCCGCCAATTTCCAAACACCCCAATTTGCCATTTGCATATTTCAGTAATAGCACCTTATACATTTAGAAATTACCCTAAATTATATTTGTGGTACAGATTTATTCTATCTATGGACCATACTTTAAAAATTAATTTTCACCACACAACCACCCATTCAAAAAAATTTGGATGGTTAAGTTTGAGATAGCAACTTATTTTTTGCATTTTAGTTTGTTATACATTTTTTGGTTTAATTACTCACAGGTTCTGTCATAAAGACATGTGCATCATTAAGTCCTATAGGTGTTTGAATAAATAAAAAATTCTTAACAGTTGAACGTAAAGATTTTTTGTGACGATTTTATGAATCTGTCGCTAAAAATTGATGTGATGTTTTTCTAAATTAGTCACTAAAAAATAATAATTAGTGACATTTTCTGTGATGAATTTTTAAACTATCGCTAAAAACTAACAATTAGTGATATTTTTATGAAAACGCCGCTAAAAAAAAAAAGAATTTTGTGATAACAATTAAAAGTGAACAAGATTTTTTTGATTGCACCAAAAAAGACAAGGAGGATTATTGGTGTACCCATCTTCTTAATAAGACTTTACAGTCAGTTTACATTTAGAACAATGAAATATAAAAATCAATTGAAAATGTTTTTCATAATCAATGAAAAAACAAGTCTTTTTGGACTGGATAAATGTTTCTCTTTCACTAATTTTACCGATGGCCCCACACCATTTGCTCCCTTTTATCATAAACAGAAGGGCAATATTACACTCTTTGTTCCTATAATTTGTTTCTTTGTCATTGGGTGGTTTCAATTCTAATTGTATCAATTTTACCTTTTAATTTTCACATTATATTAATTTAATCTATTTGGTAATCATCGTTAGCAATTGGACTGAAATCAATAAATAAATAGTCTATTTCACTCTCCTTGAAATGATTGAAAGGTTGACATCCAATTTATAATGGTCTATTTCTTTTCAAATGGAAACATTTTGCTTTTGATTCTTAGCAAATTTCTTAGTGGATGTTATCAATTGGCCTAAATTAAAAATTAAAAGAACAAATAATACAATTGAAACTATACAAATTTAAATTAACATAAAAGACAATTCAGGACCACGAATATAATTTGTCCCAAAGTACATGTGAATAAGTAGTGGAGATGTGTGAGGTTTTGGTTGCATGGACATTGGGAGATGCCATTGATGATGTTATCAAGTGTTAAAAGACAAAGAAGACAAGTCAAAAGGATGGGTTGTTTGTAGTGAAGATCACAAGGCTATTGAGTGTATAAATCAAACTTGAGGAGGGGCATAGAATCATGGTGTTTGTAGCGTGAATCAAAGGTAACGTCTAAGATGGTGAATGAAAAGAAATAGTTATACAAACAATAAACTTAAAATTCCAAGAGCGCTTAAAAGAAGGAAAAAGGAAACATGTTTGGTAATAATGCAACAACCAAAAGAGAAAAGGGTTGTGGAATAAGTTGTCTTTCAATGGCAAAGAAAAGAAAAAGACATGGGTTTAGGAGAGGGGTCATTTGGCTTTGTTTGGTTGCCAAGAAGATGAAGAAAAAGAGA